CTTCCTGACCACTATCCTTACACTCTGCCAGGGGTTATTATCATCCTAAATCTGGTGTTTCTTTCTCAAAAATGTCTTTATACTTCTACTACATGTGTCAATATCTCAAAGCAATATGTATAATTGTTTTGTATATTTTGAAACTATTAATAAATTATATTATATTGAATGTATTCTTCTTGCTTGAACATTACACTTGTGAGACTTAAACAAAATAAAGAGTATTCTTGTTTATTCATTTATTCTGCTATAATATTATATTGCACATATATATAACAATTCATTCTTCTACTGATGGATTTTCAGTTGTTCCTAATTTTTTTAATGCCAACAATGCTGTTATGAACATACTTGTACATGTATCTTTGGGTATAAGACTGAGTGTTTCTTTAGGGTAGGAGTTAGCAAACTGTACCTATTGGCCCAATCTGGCCTGCCATCTGTTCCTATAAAAAAGCTTTATCAGAACACAGTCATGCTCATTGTCTATGGTTGCTTTCCCACTGCAGTGGCAGGGTTCAGTAGTTGTGACAGAAAATGTATAATGTGTAAAGCTGGAAACATTTATTATTTGGCCTTTTTCCTTTTCTGAAACTTTTTTTAGTTGGCTAACCCCTACTTTGAGGTTTAAATTTAGCAATGACATGTATAGGTCAAATGCTATGAGTTGCCAAATGTTGCCAATGCTCTCCAAAGTAATGTACTAATTTAGATTTCTTCAATAATATAAAAATATCCTCACTCTCATTGTTCTTCACCCTCACCAACCTTTGAAATCTCAAAGTTTTTCAAATTATGTCCAATTAGTTTGTGGTTCCATTTCAAATATCATGCCATTGTTATAATGATTCATATCTGTATTTGTGAGGTATAATAACTCATATCTGTATTTGGGAGGTATACCATGTGTTTCAGGGTAATAATTGAAATGGTGGAGCAATGGCATACTCTATCCCAAGCTCAGAATGAGGCAGAAAAGTTCCAAAGGACATCTCCCTATTTGGTTCCATGTAGAGCTCTCCTTCCCACACCCGACATCCCATTCTCTTTCACCATACCTCTCCCCCAGCACACTATCTGTAAGGATCTGTTGGTCCAAATCACATGTACCAAGTATTCTATAGCTCTTAATTAGCTACCTGTTGAATACAATTTCCCACTCCTTCCCTTCACAGACCAATTGTGCCACCCGATTGTAGTCCTAAACTAGAAGCTTTTATTGAGTACAGAGAAGAGAAAAGAGAAGTCCTTGTTTTCAGTATACATCACCTGGTCTTCATGTTGTATCACCTAAAGGCAGCTTTACCACCTACACAGAAGGCCTGCCAGCTAGGTAGGAGCAAGGAGATGGTGAGAGAATGATTTATCTGTGCCTTTGGCTGCTCTGAGGGTGTTGCCTCCTGTCTAGCTATCTGGTTTTGATCATATTTTTTAATGGAAGGAAATCATCCTTATTTGTTTTTATCTTCCCAGGGCCTGTGATATTATTCTGGAACATGAGTATTGATTATTTTATTTAGTTAGTTGGATATAGTAAAGGAAGTTCTCTTCCTTTATAACTTGGGTAGGCAAATAAAGCAAGAAGGTAGCAGAAGATGGTCAAGAAGAATTTCCTATGTGGCAGTTGTTGAAACATACCCAAGAGCACTGAAATCGATGAATTGCATCTTGATTTCTTAGTAAAAAGTGTTGATCTAAATGAATTTAAAGAGGGGGGAAAGGGATGAAAAAGAAGAGGGAAAAATCATTTGAGGGAAGGAAGAGAGGAAATCATGATGAAAAAAGAGAAAGTCAGCATGAAGAGAAATCGAAGAAGAAGGCTATTTAATATAAGATAAGATAAATAACAATTAGCCTAATCTCAGCCACAGTGAAGTACACATTAGGCTATCATAAAACAGGTACATGTGTTGATACTTAGAGGACAGGGGTCAAAGACTTCCCACCCTGGTGGTGAACGATTCAGGGAAGCAGAGCTCAAAGTCCTATCAAGTACCAACTTCATAGACAGGCAATGTGCAAGCAAGTGCTGGTGTGTGGGAGGCCGCTGTACCATACACATGCATGGCCATTGCCAGGACATACTTTGGGATTGATTTAACCAGTTTCCTTTTGAACACTCCGTGCATGGGTACAGAATCATCTGGTCAGTAGTTTTGTTCCCAAAGATTTTCTCCTGTATTACTGGCAACCTCCTCCATTATTGTCTTTTTCTCTGTTGCACTGTCTTCCGACTGTTTCTGGCTTTTAAGCTTTAGCTGAGTGTGTTTTCATTCTCCAAGTGTCATGTGCCCCACAAGTATTTATTAAGGGCCAAATCAATTAATGAGCTTAATGTACTGAGAACACAAAAATTTAAAAACCCATGGCCCTTGCCCTTAAAAACCTTACAGACACTTACATTAGAGTAGAAAGGAGGCAGACGTGTCTAGCCTGGGGAGCAGAGAGCAATGAACTCCTGCTGAGGGAGTCGAGGAATATGTTTCATAAGATTTGAGCTCAATTTTGAAGAATAAGAGTGAAAAGGGGGGATAGTCTAGGTAAAAGGACCAACATATGCAAAGGCATAACAATGTGGAAACACATGGCACAATAAAGGGAAATATTTTGAAATAATCACTCCCAGGGAGTGGAAAGTTCCAGCCTCTCGTTCTTAAAGTACAAGCACCTGTGGAAGTAGCAGCACATTTAGGATGGATCAGGGCCAGAGAATGAGGTATACACCAGCTAAGGGAGTATGACATTATTCTCAAGGGCCCCACACATCTCTGTAACCTGAATTTAACTCAAGTGAATTAACATCTAACTTTCAGCTAGGCACATAATTAAGTCTCTCATGACATTTTTTGGCCAGGATGGGAAAATATGGGTTCTATTGAGGCACAGTTGATATATCATGTGATTATATTCAGATATTGGAAGAACTGCTAGGTGGAAGGAGGATTTCACATTTCCTAGATCCAGAGGAAGAGTGAGGATTAATAAGTCATTGTTATAGGGATGCAGATTACTGATCTGGGTCAGGAAAAAAAGAAATATAAACAACTTATATATATGTCAAAGCATCCATTGCTAGATTGGAGAATAATATTTTCTCCTTAGCTCACAAATATAAATATTTGGGTGGTGAAAGGGAGAAAAAAAAATAGAGGGATAAGGAAGGTAAAGAGCAGGAATGCAAAGTAAAAAGTAAATTGTGTAAAATGGAATGTTAAAGGTTTCCTTCATGTTACTGGGAGGCTATAAGCAGTTAAATGCTTCCAGGGTTTGCATAGATCTAGAAGCTGGCCCCCAGATGGTCTGGGGCCGTGACCTCAGACCATGCTATACCCACTTCCTGCCTAGAGCAGAAAGAAGGCAAGAATATGATGTAAAATATCTTTTTGAAAAGTACATTTTGGTGAATATTGGTAATCATACAAAAGCTTGACTAAGTACAAACTGTAGGTGATATAAGGACTAACTTAGGATCAGATGCAGATTAGAGTTATTTTAAGAAGAGTATGTGTACTCATCTCCTCAGGCTGTCATAACAAAATAGAAACCTAGCTTCTCACAATCCTAGAGGCTGGAAGTCCAAGATCGAACTATCAACAAGCTGGTTTCTTGCCTTTCCCTTCAACTCGCAGATGACTGTGCTTTTTTTCCTGCTTGTGCTCACATCACTGTATCTCTTCCTCGTAAAGAGACACCAATCCTACTGGCTTAGGGTCCTACCCAGTTCATTTGAATTTTCTCCATAAAGGCCCATCTCCCAATACAGTCACATCATGGGTCAGGGGCTTCAATGTAAGAATTTTGTGGGAACAGAATTCAATCCATAACAGCACGTAAAACTGAGAGGCAGGCCCAGATGAAAGACAGTTGTGCCTGCATTAATATTCCAAAGATTCATTTCAGCTTCAACCTTGCATGCCCTGTGGCATCTTGCTGACCCCTGACACCCTATTTTTGCCTTATGAAACTTGCTAAAATAATTGCATTTCTTTCTTAACACTCAGCTTTTCAACTCTTACTTTTAGAACTCTGAACTCTATTCAAGGACCTGATGCCAACCAGTTCCTAACACAAGGATTTCATTCCCTTGCACTCTGTCTTGGTCTTGACCCAGTTTGATGCTTTCCTGTATAGTGAGTTGAACACAATTGCCTTCTTCCCTCAGCTTCTTCCATCTGTGCCCACTCTCAGGCTTCTGAGCAGGCCATACCTGCCAACCCAGATTCTCAATGTGGTTTAAAATACTGCCAGCATGTGTTCCTCCATTCACTAAACTGGAAGATCCTTGAGACAAGGACTATGTCTTGTTCATATTTGTGTATTCAAGGCCTAGAATAGTGTTAAAGTACATCGTAATTTTCTAAAAATTGTTTTTTGAATGAATGACGAACAAATCAATGTTACAATGAAAATACCTGAGAAAGAAGGCTCCGTGAGTTTGATGGTGAGCCTGGATTTTTTTGGTTTGCTCTGGAAATGAGAATGCATCTCCACAAGCATTGATATTCTCCTCTGCGATCAGACGGATGCGCTGCCTTCCTGACACACAAAAGGAAAGGGAAGAATAAGTAAAGCCTTATACTGAATGACATACTCTCAGTGCTTCATTCCTTCACCCTATCAGCCTTTACTGAGTACCTGCTAAATCCGGGAACTATCTCAGTCTGTATTGAGTCAAAGAGGAATATAGTTCTGGCACTTCTTCAGGTCATAATCTATTATGATTCACAGATATAAATTAGCAGGATGATAATACTCAAGTGCTTTACTGATATGCCATCTCTTCTACCACAAAATTGAGAAAATTTACAAAAAATTCATACAACACAGAAGTGTAAAATTAATAGCTGGGAGAGTCAGAAAAATGAAAATATCACACAAATGTATGAGATAATGTATCTATTGATGCTAGAAGTGAGCAACAAATTTGTCTATAAATTACCTAGCAGCTAATAGATTAAAGACATATTCAATTACAAGATTTGTGGTAAGAAATACAACTTGTGCTCGCTTCAGCAACACATGTATGAAAATTGGAACAATACAGGGAATATTAGCATGGCCCTGCACAAAGATGATGTGCAAATTCATGAAGCATTCCGAGTTATTTAAAAAATGCAACTTTTCTTTATGTTGAGACCAATAAGTAATTTCTTTCTGTGTCTATATATGGGGGAACACTGTAGATATTTGCAAGAATATCTACATTAAGTACACATGAAAATACTCACTTCCATTCAAGTAATTTGTGATACTAAATAGAATATATTAAACTACTTTTATTTTATGGGTGTAGCCAGCATGAAAAGGACAACCAGAAATACTCAAGTGCCAGAAACAAAGTAACTTCTGAGCTGAAGTCTGGCAACATAGACCTGGGAGTAAACAGAGTCACAGGGTCTGGATTTCAATGCCAACATGAGGATGAGAGCTGGAGTTACAAATCCTACCCCTGTGGTTAAAAAAAAAAAAAAAAAAAGGTCTGGGCTTCCTCTGAGAGAACAGGACCTGAGAAGCAAACCACTCACTCAAGCTGTGGTTAGAAATAGTTTCCCATGTGATTCTAGAGTCTTAGGTCTGTGACTCATGATTGTGGAGGCCTCATTATACTATCTCAGTCCAAATATACAGAGCCAAATATGAGAACTTCCCTGGCAACAGTGAGGTCCCCGAACCCTGCCAGGGCTGCACAGGGAAACCTCCACAACCCAGGGAACATATATGAAGCAGCTCAGAGAGAAGATAATGCCAGGAAAAAATGAGCCTATAGACAAGAATGACAAAATGTATGAGAATGTCTACATCAGGAAATATAAAAGACATAACTTACATCAAAGAAATAATCAGACAATGAAAAGAAGATTTTAAAATACTGTAAGTACATTTAAAGTCTTCAAAGACATAAATTCTTTTTGTGAAACAAAAACAGAAAGTTATAAAATAGTACATTGATATTTAAAAACTCAATAAAAATTTAATATTAGATTAAGACAATAGAAAAGAGAATAAATTTGAGGAGAAATCTAAGGAGATTTTCTACAATGGAAGAGAAAAGTAAACTGAGCTGAAAAAAAATTTTAATTACAAGACTTTAAAGAGCATATTAGAAGAATCAAAATACATCTGAAGAGCACATGAGGAAAAGTGAAACTGGGGAGAGGCAACACTCAAAAAATAATAGTTGAGAATGTTCCAAAGCTAAGAAGGATGAGTCTTTATTTTGTAAAAGCCAATTAATTACATTGACATAAAGTGTAGCGATATTGCAGAACATCAAAGTTAAGGAGAAATCTTCAATTTCCCAGAGAGGAAAAAAAGATTGCTTCCAATAAATAGCAATGAGAAGAAAGGGCATACAAATTAAATATATCAGGAATGAAAAGGGATAGCATCACATATAATTGTGATTTGACAAAATAATAAAGTGCCTTCAGCAATTTAAAGCCAACACACTTTAAAATGTGATAAAATGGGAATTTTTCTAGGAACTGTTGTTGAATTACCAGTAATAACCCCACAAGGGATTTTAAAAATCTCAGTGGCTCAATATACATTAAAGAAACTGAGCAAGTAATATACACCTTCTCACAAAGCTGGAATCATATAGCTTTATCAAACTTAAATTACAGATAATCCTCCCAGATAATATAAATTCTTATATAAATTCTCATATAAATTCTCCCAGGTAATAGAAAAAATGCTATCTAACTTATTTTATTACATTAGTAAAATATTTATGCTCAACCAAGACAAAAAAATAAATAAAATTATAAGCAAGTCTCACTTATACAAAAATGTTAAAGAATATATTATTTAAACAAGGCTAATTTTATATATATGGCCCTTTTGCACCATGTACAGTTGGAAGTATAGTTTATCATTAGAAAACTTATCAAGGTAAATACATTAAGAAAAATAGAGATTCAAAAAGTCACAAGAAAAATATAAAGGACAAGACATATATATTTGATAACATCAAAATGTAAAATGATTATCTCAATAGGTTTTAAAAATAATTGATAAAAAGGAAAAAAATATTTGTTCATGGTTCAAAAAAAGAAATAAAGCCCAGCAAAGTAGTAAAGGAAGAGAATTTCCCTAAGTGGAACTTTCAAAAACTAACAGCAAACATCTTACATCATGACAAATTTTAGAAGCATTCTCATGAAAGAAAAAGTTAGAAAAATATATAAGAACACAGTAAAATTTATGTATAGAATTGAGAAGACATTTTCATTCAAACAAGAGTCAATGTGATCCAAGGCCTGCTTCTGTGCCTACTGCAGCCTTGCAGCCCGCAATTTCTTCCAAAGTGCATGAATTTGTGCACTGAGCCCCTAGTTCTAGTATAAATTTTGGTGACTCTTAAAGTTAATGGTGGTTGTGGGCTTTTTTAATATTTGCACCTAACCAAAATCAAAGGTTGACCAACCGACCTGTGTGTATCCCCTCTTTTTGTTTCCTGAAATTTCACTGATCTCTGACATCCCAAAGTCTGATAATCACTATTCTACTTCATACCTGAGAAGTTTCAAGCAGATCAAAGTCACAGACTGAAGTTTTCATGCTGTAACTATTGAACTAATCACTCTTTTTTTTTTTTTTTAACACACTCAATGGTTGAATGTTGAGGGGAATGAAGCATATAAATCAGTTAGCTTGATTTAATTCCACAGTAAGGCCTTTTAAAAATGTGTGCTGCTGTTCACAAGGTCATGGCACTAGAGGAAGATGAATTATTGCAAATCCATCATCACTGTGACAAGCAATCCAGGGGATTGGTCAAAAACCTTGTCTCTTCTTGAATATGATAGCACATGAGTTCAGTACTAAGTGACCTGAATAGATAAGCATGAGGATCAAAGGAAAGCAAGGTCTAGACCCATTGGTCTTCAGTTCAAAAGGGAAAACCAAAGTCAATAAACAGCAACTTAATGTTGATTTTTTTTTTTTTTTTTTTTTTGTCTCTAAGAAAGCAATGGTGCTATTGATCTGTAGTCCAGTTAGAAGAGTTTTCTTAATCTGACAGTAGAGAAATTACATTTGATGGGAGAATTCTTCCTGAGGCTTGCTTTAAATAGTAAAAACATGCTCAAAATATTCTAATTTCACCTATAACATTTCTGCTCATTTAATTTAACTTTAAAGGGTTTTATATGGCATTTTAGGATTATGAGTTCGATCATAAAAAAATTGCTTTCTTTTACTTATATATATCAGTGATTTCTCAAGTAGTCCTATTATTTTTTTCTTCATATAATTTCTTATGGTTGCAAATCCTGCAAGTCGGGAATCACTGAATACTAATTCTCTAATCTCTAATCTTTAATCTCTAATCTCTCCTGATTCTATAACTAGGGATTCCAATTTTGAATGCTAGAAACTGAGCAATAATATAAACATGTGAAGTGACAATTGGGGTTGTTGAGGCCTTGGTGAACAGGAGACCCCATGTCTTTATTTTGCTTTTGTGAATTTTGAAAACATGTTGAATTCTAACAGGAGAGTTAAGAGTACAGTGAGCAATTGGCTAGAGTTCTAAAAAGGAAGGGAAGAGAACCTGAGATGGCCTTCTAGAAATGAAGGTCTGCTTTAATTTAGGGCTCCAGTCAAGTGCAACAGCAAGTCTGAGTGGGTGGCATGATTCACTCAACATCAGCCTCCATGAGAACAAAGCTCAGTTGCCTTGAGAGTTCAGCGCTCCTTTCATTCCAACACCATGACTCTTTTGTCCTGGCTTCACCAGTGATGACCAAGCTGTTTTTCACCACCTACAGTTTTTTCCTAACTCTATTTTTCCTGTAAATACCCTATCTTAAACTTATATCTTTAGAAAAAGAAATCACTGAGAAAGGTTAATGGGCCTATATATATATATCAATAATAAAACTGATGCACTCAGAATATTCTTCATCTTCTCCAATCCTAAACTCTATTTATCTACTGTAAGACCTTTAAGGATGTATGCCATTGCAAGAGGAGAAAAATTGTTATCTCAGAAGACATTGTCATGTACTTTCTTTTTTCCCCTTGACTAAACATTTCCCTAAATAATCAATGAATCTCTCAGAGAGCTACAGTGCCTCAGAGAGTGACAGTATCTCAGAGAAACTCTGAAGCATAAGCTATAAGCCTTATATGAAAATGTTATCCAAGAAAGCACAGAACAAGAGTTTTAAAAATTAGACCATCAAAACCTAGTTCAGAATGAGAAGAGCCACAGAGAGCAATTTGAGAACTAAGATTAGTCAATGAGGCGAAAACAAACCTTTCCTGAGGCCCTGTCCAAAGATGCATTTCAGGGCCTTCTAACTCCCTGCTGTTTTCACAGTTGTGTTTACTACAGAAGTTGTTATGGCTCCCTGCTCAAATTCACAATTTTCACATAGTTTGTACTCAAGGCCAATAGCTAGTAAGCTTGGGAAAAAAAAGAAAAGGCAGAATGAGGTGATATCTGATGGGGGGAAAAATAGAAAATTACAATAAGAAGTGACTCCATTGGTTCAACTCCCCCACTTTACAGAAACAAGTACTAACTGAGCTCTTATAATGACAAACTCCAAAGCAAGAATAATGTGAGGAGCAATCTTGGTTTTAATTATTTTTACTTCATATTTAGTTCTCTCTTTTTTACTGTATAACACTGTCTGCATTGATAAGAACTTTTAAAAAAATCTATTGAAATATTATAGATACAGACTAGAGGCCTGATATTATGTATCTATTGAATTACAGATATACAATTTCGTGCATGGGGTGGGGGGGGGTCCCTCAGCCTAGCCTGCACCCTCTCCAATCTGGGACCCCTCGAGGGATGTCCGACTGCTGGTTTAGGCCTGATCCAGGATTGCTGGCTCCCAACTGCTTGCCTGCCTGCCTTCCTGATTGCCCCTAACCATTTCTGTATGCCAGGCTGATCACCTCCTAACCACTGCCCTTCCAGCTTGATTGATGCCTAACTGCTCCCTTGCCAGCCTGATTGCCCTTCACTGCCCCCCCCCCTGCAGGCCTGGGTTCCTCCAACTGCCCTTCCCTGCAGGCCCAGTGCCCCCAACTTCCCTCCTCTGCCAGCCTGGTCCCCCTTACCGCCCTCCCCTGCAGGCTTGATT